AGGTTCTCCCATCTCTCTTTGTGGGTTCAGCCTCCCTTCTGGCTCTAGGTGTCTCTCAGACCCTATGCGTCCTGTCCCCTCCAATTGACCTGTCTCTGTCGCCACATATATCTGTGTCCCTATTCCTGAAGGTCTCTGTCTGGCTTCTGCCTGTGTTTCTCTCTCTCTCTCTCTGTTTCTATGCCCATTCCTGTGGGTCTCTCCCCTTCTGTCTCCATGTGACTTTTTATCTCTGTCACATGAAGAGTGACACACACACACAAACACACACACACACACAGAGAGAGAGAGAGAGAGAGAGAGAGAGATCCCTGAGAGAGTGTCTCTGTTTCTTCTTCCCTCTCCCTCTCCCTCTCCCTGGGCCCATCCAACCTTACTACATGTCTGTCTTTTGCTAAGACTCTGTCTTTATCTCTGTCACTTTCTCTTTCTGTCTGTCCCTCTTGATCTGTCTCGCCATGTCTCTGTTTGTGCCTCTTGGTCTTAGTGGTTTGTTTCATCTATCTCTGTCTCCTTCTATCTCCTCATCTCTCTGTCTCTGTCTCTCCAAGGCTATTTTGGAGAGACGAACAACTCTCTTTCATCTTCTTCTTCTCTCTCTCTCTCTCTCTCTCTCTGTCACTGTCTCACTCTGAGATCTTCTTTTCTATCTCTGATTCTCTCTGTCTCTCTCTCAATGTCTCTCTGTGGGATCTCCTCTCTCTCTCTCTTTTTCTCTCCCTCTGTCTCTACCAGTCTCTCTCTCTTACTTTCTTTCTCTGGAATCTCCACTCGGTCTCTGTCTCTCTCTCTGCAATCTCCTCTATTCTGTCTGCCTGTCTGTCTTTCTCTCTCTCTCAAGTCTCTCTTTGGAATATCTCTCACTCTCTATCTATCTCTGTCTCTCTTTGTCACACTGTTTCTCTTTGGGATCTCTTCTCTGTCTCTGTCTCCTCTTTCCCTCTCTGCTCTGTCTCTCTCTTACTGTCGCTCTCTGGGATCTCTTCAATATCTCTCTCTGTGTCTCTCTCTGGAATAATCTTCTTCTCCTTCTCCTCCTCCTCCTTCTCCCCCCCCCCCCACTTTCTCTCTCTGAGATCTACAGAAGTAGTAGACTCTCAGATTCTCTCTCTCACCCCCTCCCCACACACTAACTCTGGAATCTCCCCCCATCACCTCCCCCCACTGTCTAACTCTGGAATCTTCCCTTCTCTCTCTCCCTCTTCCTCTCCCTCCTCTCTCTCTCTCACTTTCTCTCTCTGTGATCTGGAGAAATAGTAGACTCTCTCTCTTTCTCTCGTTCTCATCCCCACCTCCCCCCAATGTCTAACTCTGGAATCTTCCTCTCCATCTCTGTCTCTTTCTCTTTCTCTCTCTCTCTCTCTCTCTCTGTCTCTTTCTCTCTCTCTCTCTCTGTCTCACTCTTGGATCTTCCTCTCTGTCTCTGTCTCCATCTCTCATTGTCTCACTCTGGAATCTTCTCTATCCCTGTCCCTTTCTCTGTCTTTCTCACTGTCTCTGAGATTTTTCTATCTCTGTCTTTCTCTCTCACACACACACACTGTTTCTCTTGGAATCTTCCTATCTCTGTTGCTCTCTTATTCCTTCTTTCTAGAATCTTCCGCGTATGGGGTCCATGGATGGTTCTGAGCAGGGGTGGGCATGGCCAAGTCTCTGGAGGACAGAACAGGACAGACTGGATAGGGTTTGGAGCACAGGAGAGCAAGAGGCAGAAGCCCCAGGCCTGGTTTGAACTATAAGTGGTGTGACAGGAGTGACTGAAGTTCTACTTTGGGAGCCTGGGTGGATGGGGAGGGCAGTGTCCGAGGTTGGTGGAGGGGCGGGGCGAAGCTGGGAGCTTGCAGAGGGCCGTTGACAGGTCTATGGGCCCAGGGCCAAGCTGGGATCCGAGGCTCAGCGCGGCTCAGCGCTAATCTCCTCGTGACCTTGTAGAGGCCTGAGCTGCCTGCTGTCTGCCCCCAGACCCGGAGGCTGAGTCCGGGGGGTGGGGGGTGCAGGGAGGGGCTGCAACCTGGAGATCTGGGAACCTCAAGAAGGGGTGTAAGGAGTGGGAGAGAGGCTTGGCCCTAAGCCAGCCCTGCAGCAGCACTGCGTCTCAGACATGGAGGCACAGAGTCTTGGGGGACAAAGAGACCAATCTTCCACACTCCCACCCAGTGCCAGGGGTGATCTTGGCCTTCACAGATAAAGAGATGTGCATCTGTAAAGTCCTAGGGTCAAACAATGTACAGGGAGGTAGGAGGGGAGAGATGGAGGTCTGGCAGGAGTGGGAGAGAGAACAAGCTGCCCACCCCTGAAACTGCAGGGAAGCCTGGGAGCTGACGTTTGGGTCCCTGTGGAAGCTGGGGGTGGGGCCCAGACTCTCGAACCTTGAGATAGGAGGGACTGAACTTCTAGATCTGAGGGAGGAGGGGCTGGAGGCCTAGACTCCCGCTTCTGAGGGAGGAAGGGCTGGGGGCTTGGACTCCTGGGTCTGAGGGAGGAGGGGCTGGGGGCTTGGACTCCTGGGTCTGAGGGAGGAGGGGCTGGGGGCCTGGACTTCTGGGTCTGAGGGAGGAGGGGCTGGGGGCCGGCAATTCTGGGTCTGAGGGAGGAGGGACTGGGGGCCTGGACTCCTAGGTGTGAGGGAGGAGGGACTGGGGACCTGGACTTCTGGGTCTGAGGGAGAAGGGGGTAGGGAGCTGGACTCCTGGGTCTGAGGGAGGAGGGGCTGGGGGCTTGGACTCCTGGGTCTGAGGGAGGGGGGGCTGGGGGCCTGGATTCCTGGGTCTGAAGAAGGAGGTGCTGGGGGCCTGGACTTCAGGGTCTGAAGGAGGAGGGGCTGGGGGCTTGGACTCCTGGGTCTGAGGGAGGAGGGGCTGGGAGCTTGGACTCCTGGGTCTGAGGGAGGAGGGGTTGGGGGCTTGGACTTCTGGGTCTGAGAGAAGTGGGACTTAAGGGCCTGGACTCTTGGAGCTGAAGGAGGAGGGACTGGAACTCCCAGGTCCCTGGCAGGCGAGCCTTGGCTCCTGCTTGCCCTTGCCGTGACCAGACTCCCTTGGGGGCGGGCTTCCATCTGTTGGAGTGGGAAGCTGAGGCTTTCCCAGTCAAGGCAGGCAGCCCAGATGGGCGCACTGCGGGGTGGGAGCACCTCCGAGGGTTGGGGACACGCCTGTCTCGCTGTAGCCGCCTCTGCAGCTCGCCATTTTCTGTGCTGTCCGCCTCTCACTGAGGCTGGCACCAGCTCAGGCAACCTCTGCACCTTGTCCAGCCTCCCCCTCCCCCTCTCAGGGCACCTGTGGCCCAAATCTCTGAGCATCTCTCCCTTGACCTCCCCTTTTGCCCTCTGCCTCCTCTTGTCATTCAGGCTGACTTTGGTTGCCTCTGGATGGGAAATATCTGTCCTTGTATCTCTTCATCTGGGCCTCAGTTTCTCATTTTGTCGCTCTCAGTGTCTCTTCATGTATCTCACCCATATCTCTCTTTATCGTTCTATGTCTCTCTGCTTGTCTTGGTCTCCTTCTTTGTCTCTGTGCCTGTGTGTCTTTCTCTTCACCTCTTGAAGCGTCTCTCTGTCTCTTTCAGAGCATCTCTTCCTCCCTCTCTCTCCCCATCTCTCTGTGTCTTTCCATGTGCCTCTGCCTCTCCCTCCCATATCTGAGCTGCCTTTGCTTCTCCTCCTGTCCCCACCTATTTTCCTAAGCCCCCCTCCCCTTCCCTCTCGGTGATAGCCTCCGTCCTCTCCCCCAGTCCCTCCACGGCGTCCCTCCCTCCATTCCACTTACCTGAAAGCCATCACTGGCCACTCCCTCCTCCCTTCTTTCCCCTAGTCCTCCCCCAGCCCAGTTCTCCTCCCCATTCCCCTTGCCCACCCCATCCTGCCCCACAGACCTGAAGCCCCACCCCCCACCTCCATCCCTAGGCCCATCAGTCTTTATCCGCCATCTTTCTCC